TACCGTTATTACGATGCTGGCGTCCAAAATTGCCGCAGAATAAATAGGCCTCTTAAGTGGAATTTCTACTTATAGCTACTGCTATACGTTAAGACAGGTGGCATTTGCCGACTTCCATCCGTCTACAACAGAGGAAAGGCGACAGACGTCAGGATCGCCAGCACGCTGACCATCAGGCGATGTAGCACTGGTCAGCGCAACCGGGAACTTGCTATCAGCGAAGCTGGAAAAACAAACTACTCCAGCGGTCTCAGGGGACAATGATAAACACCATTTTCAGCAATGTTTCGGACTGTCCACTTGCATTTTGAAGACTATGGTTTAGCCTGCCAACAGACGAAAATTATTTTAATACATTCATCGCACTTTTCGTTTCAACCTTCTGACTCCGGCCGTTCCACATTTTGATTTCTCATACCAAGACCGCTTGGGCTATCAGAACGGGTGCCCTTGTCAGAAATGTTACTAAGATGTTTCCAAATACCAAGCGCGGTTATGTCAGGCCCTTCAGTTCTGGAAAGTGGTAAGTAGATGCCGGAAGAACAACATCGCCTTTAGCTTGCACTTAGCACCCCTGGCGAGAAAGGCAACAATCGATGGCCGACTACTGCTGCTGCTGCTGCTGGCAAATTCTCTCACTTCGGCGCTCCCGAGTGTTTCCGCCCCTTTAAGGTCAAATTGCTGAAAGGTTTTTTGACTCGAAAATCTCACGTCTGAAACGACAAGGTATGTTTTTACGACAAAAAAACTTACGTTTGAAAAAAAAGAACAATGATGTCGTACGTGGAGTACGTGTAGGTTTAAAAGGTGCGTTTCTCGAGCAAATTAATTCTCAACGTAGCAGGATACAACTGAAAGCACAAATGTGGAACAAGAAATGCGTCACCGCTAATCCACAGCCCTTTTCGCCAAGCTGCAAAAAAAACCATGCGCATCCACCGAGCACACAAAGAAAAACGCAACGCAACCGATTTTTGAGAATCGACTATTTCTGGCACAAAAAACTTCCTCCCACACTTGGCTGCTCTTGCCAAGTAATCCCCGGCACCCGTGGGAAATCCTGAGTAGCTGAGTGCACGCAGACGAAGAGGGAGCAGCTGATGGGTAAGTCAGGAAGAGGATCTGAACGGCTGCACATTTGGGGAAAGGGATGCCGGGGTCAGCAGCAGGCCAGCCAGTGACAACAGCGCGGCGATGCCATTCCAGCAAGAAGACCAAGCCACTGGGCGGCAATCTCAGCCTGAAAGCTAAGGGAAATCAATTCTGGCCAAAACCCGGTAAAAACAAGGCACCACGTGTGAACAGGACGCACAGCCAGACGGAAATTAAACATAGTTCAGCAAGTGGCACATCAGTGACAGTGCGAACGCCAGCATTTCAGCGTGGTCTGGCCAAAGAACACTCAGCAGCACTGCTACAGTGCGGCAGCACGCCGAAATGTCTGCTGCTGCTGCTGCTGCCCGAGCTGATGATAAGCAGCATGCGGCGCCCCGTCCAGCCCAAATGCCCCCAGTGCATGAGGGGCCCAAGCACTTCGCCTTCAGTGGCCAATGTGCAATCTCAGCGAAACGAACGAACACCAGGCCGACCACACACACACACACTGCTTGTCGCACAGCACTGGCGCTGTTCTCGAGAGCCGATCAAAGTCCACACAGCACCAGTGGCAGTGCGAGCCGAAAAATTACGATGGACTTTGAAAAGGCCAGACCACTGGTGCTGGGAGAAATGCTCACAGACTTCTACAGGGGAAAAAAGAAAAACCTGATGGCGATGCGAGCCGAGAAATCAGGGCTTATTTTGAAAACAGCGGACGGACTGTACTGGGAAACAGCAGAATAAAGGGATTGGACTTATGTGTCATGTGTAAGAAACCATTTTACGATGCACCCTCAAAGTTTTGTTCAGCAAAAAAAAAGATGGTGGCGATGCGAGCCAAAAAATTATGGCCGTTATTTTGAGTAACGCCGTGCAGAACATTGCGGAAAATCCTCAAAACTTTCCTGCCAAAATACTCCTAGCGATGCGAATCGGAAGAAACCAATGGACATCCATAACAACGAGGTACAGTTAAGCACTAATTACTCGGACTGCTTTGCCCCCCAGTACTTCCACGGAAGGCGAAATCGATATTACGCTGCAATGCTCCGTAGTGCTCCAGAGCGTCCGACACTCGCGGGCACAGCTCCAAGTGTCCCAATGAAAAAGCGGTGTCCCCACCACTTCGCCAACTGGTTACCGCGTTGACACGTACGTCACAGGCTGGCGGCGCTCGTACAT